ACCTCCAATAGACCCACCTGCAATAGACTGACCTCCAATAACCCACCTGCAGGAGACCCCACCTGCAGGAGACCCCACCTGCAGGAGACCAACCTGCAATAGACCCACCTGCAATAGACTGACCTGCAGGAGACTGATCAGGAATGTCCCCTCTTTCCCACTGACCTGCAGGCCCTGCACAGCCAGGAAGTCCCACTTGAGGCTGCTCTATCTCCCTGTTCAGGTCAGGCCTCTAGTTGTCAGCAACAGGCAGCACCCGGGCCTTGTGTACCCAATACAGAGCCACCCCTCCCCAGCTGGAGGCTGTGGTAAGGACCCTCATCCTGGGACTCATTCCACACCTGTGAAGGGGGTCTGGCGTCAGTAGGTGCTGGAGAAACGGTCAGGCAGAGTGCGGTTCTGGGGAGAAGGGGCGCCCCACTAACAGCCCTTACTGCTGTCACAGGCCTTCCTGGAAGCTCTGCAGAACCAGGCCGAGGCCAGCAGCAAGATCATCGGCCAGTTTGGAGTGGGGTTCTACTCGGCCTTCATGGTGGCTGACAGAGTTGAGGTCTATTCCCGTGCAGCAGCCCCGGGGAGCCCGGGCTACCAGTGGCTTTCAGACGGGTGAGTCCATGCGGAGCGACCCCACTGCCACGGGTTTGTCCCCATTCCTGGGAACACTGGGGCCGTTGTCTCCTGGCCCGCACATGGAATCTAGCCGAAGCCTTGTCACTGAGTTTGGGAAGACTTGGACTTTGCTCGGGAAACGTGGTCATCTCGGGCTTCTTTGGGTGAAACCTGACTTTTCCACTCAGGGAGCCTGGTCTTTGATGGCTCCAGACAGTCCCTGGTCTGTGTGGCCTGGAATGCCAGCCCCGGCCCAGGCTGTGCTCTTCTTGCAGTGACACTAGGGCCACCCTTCTCCCTCTGGCCTGTGCTGTGAGCTGCTTCCTAGCCTTCCGACTGGGGCTCTGGCAGAGTGTGGAGCGTCAGAGGCGTTTCCGGAGGTGGGGAGGTTGGGAGATTCTCCTGCCGTCTGCACCATCAGGCTGAGGCCTTCTGTCAGCACTCCGTCCTGGGGATGGCGTCTCCTCCGTTGGTTAGGAGATGAATATGCCTTAACTAGGGTTAGCGTTTCTGACAGCGGGCCCCAAACTGCATTCCTGAGCCAATCTTTCCTGACTGTACGTGCCAGTCCAGCTGGGACAAGAGGCCTTGTGGTGGCTCACACCTGCCCTCAGTCAAAATAAGATGGCCATTTAATTTCGAGAACGCAGCTCCCCAAGTGAGCATGGCCGAGGTGTCTGCTGTGCTCGTTCCAAACCACAGGCGTGGTTTTTGCTCCTGAGGGGCCATCATTTCTCCCAGGCGTCTGCACCGAATCCGTGCCCTGGCCTGGGAGGTTCCCCGGCAGGTGGGCAGGGGACCCCGGCAGGTTCCAGGATTGCGCGTGCCTACCCCGCAGCCGTACACTCTAGATGTCCATTTGGCAGCCTCGGGCTCTGCTGGGGTCAGAGATAGGGTACTGTGGTTTCCCTCCTCGTGTTGGTTTGGGTCCCGCCCAAGCCAGGCTGCAGGAAAGGCAACAGCTGCCGGCCAAGGTGTGCGAGCCACTGGGCAGACCTCCCCGCCCTCCTTTCACCTTAGCTCTGGAGTGTTCGAGATCGCTGAAGCTTCAGGAGTTAGAGCCGGGACTAAAATAGTCATCCATCTCAAGCCAGACTGCAGGGAATTTGCCAGTGAGGCCCGGGTTCGAGGTGAGCGGGAACCCGAGCCCCAAGTTGGCCCTGGGAATGTCTGTGGGCAACCCCTCAGGCTGGCATGGGGCCTCCACCTGCTGTGTTTTACCAGATCTTCCAAATAAGGGGTGCAGGGGGGGAGCACGGGGGGGTGGGCAGCTTCTGGACCAGGGAAGGCTGGCCACCAGGTCTGTGGGACAGAGGCCTCTGGTCCCAGGCTGTGAGACTGGGGACAAGGCGCGCTGGCAGACAAGCAGCTGGCCAGCAGGGCCCCACTTCCACCCAGGGGCAGCACAGTCACGAGGCTGGACTGGGGGGTTAGGCTCCAGGTCAGGCTCCGCCACCGTCACGCGATGGGCAGCAGGGACAGGTCTGCCTGCTGAGCCCCTGAGCCGTGCCCACCTGGAGTGGCACAGTCTCCGCTCTCTTGCAGACGTGGTAACGAAGTACAGCAACTTTGTCAGCTTCCCCCTGTACCTCAACGGAAGGCGCATCAACACCCTGCAGGTGAGGCCTGGACCACCGGCCCTGCTGGCCGCACCACCATCTGCGTTTCTGGGGACGCGGGCCGGGACAGGCTTTGCGAGGCTGTGCAGACCCAGCGCGTGTTCTTTGTGCAGAAATAAGGTCTGAGGGTGCGGACGTGTCCCACCCACATCTCCTGGGTTCAGGGTTCACTGCGCTGTGGTTCACAGGACAGACAGGCCCTCCCTGGGTGTGCAGGGCAGTGTTTCTGGTAACTTCAGAGATGTGCGGTCATCACACAGGCCACGTTAGAGCATTACCATCACCCAAAAGCCAACTGGTGCCCATTCGGGCTCACTGTGAATCTTTCCGTCTGTCAGCCTCCTCTGGGAGTTTTACAGGTATGGAGTTGGACAGCAGGAGGCCCCAGGAAGGGCTGCTCTCACTGTGCAGCGTGTCTTTCTGACTCGGCCGCACCAAGGGGTGTGTCGTGTCCCTCTCGTGCTGAGTAACGGTCCACCCTGTGCGTGGGCCGTGGTGTTCACTTACCCACCCCGTGGACGCTGTTCGTTCTCACTGTCGGATCTTGTCTCTGGTTGGCCCTTCCTGATACCCTGTCCTAGGAGGGAGCACTTGGCTCCAGAGCCTTCTGCGTGTCCCTCTACCCCCAACCCAGTGCTGGAGGCGGTGTGCGGGGATGGAGGGAGGGCCTGCACCAGAGGCACCCCAGGTGGCCGGTTCAGGCCTGAGCCCCACAAGCTCAGCTCCGTGCAGTTGTCAGGAAGGTATGCTTCAAACATGATGTTGGTCCTTGTTTCTAGGCCATCTGGATGATGGACCCCAAGGATGTCAGCGACTGGCAGCACGAGGAATTCTACCGCTACGTGGCTCAGGCCTACGACAAGCCCCGCTACACCTTACACTACAGGACAGATGCCCCGCTTGGCATCCGGAGCATCTTCTATGTGCCTGAGGCGGTGAGGCACACTGCTCAGCTGGCTGTGCCCTGGTGGGCTTGGCAGCTAGGGTCTCCTGCTGCTGAGCAGGCCTTGGGGCCATGGTGGTGTGGCAGGTGTAGCACCTCGCCCGCTGGGGGCAGCCCAGTGCAGGCGCTCCACCTGGGGACTTTGGCAGCACTGAGCAGGAAACAGACAGATGTGAGCAAGTGAGCCCTGATCCCCCGGCCCTCAACAGACCATATAGCGGCAGGGATGTGTCAGGCAGTGGAGCAGAGAGCTCTGGCCTTACCTGGGTGCCGGGGCTCAGCGAACCCTGGGATGCTGGTTCAGGGTGCCCGGGGAGGGGCTATTGGAGCAGCTGCCTGGGCTTGTTTAGCCGTTCAGGCTCGCAGGATGGGGGGGCAGTTGTTCCTGATGTCCTGGGAAGGGGACACTGGCCAGTCCACCACGTCAGCACAGGCCATTTCTCCCCTCAGACTCTCTGATTCACGCTGACAGTCTGACGAATCCTGCAGTAAATAAACCAGCTTAGGCGTAAAACCCTGCGTTTCCTGCCTTTGCCTGAGCCCTCTTTGTTTTTAAAGAATGATTTTATTTAATTTTGTTTATTCATTCATTTATTTTTTAATTGATCAGAGAGAGACCAGAGAGAGAGGGGGGGAAAGTGAGAAAGCAAGCCACCAGGTCCAGGACTTGAACCATGGTCAGCCATGTGGGAGTGTCCAGCACCTTAACCACCACGCCACCAGCTGGCCCCTGCCTGAGTCCTCTTAATGCCCCACATTCTTAGTATCCGTTTTGGAAACAACTGGGCCGATCCTCATTGCCCCAGGTATAGGCCGCAGACCAGAGTCAGCATCTCCTGGGCCTTGTCTCAGGACACCCATGAGGTGGTGTGGAGTTAGGGTGTGCGAGGCAGCGGCACCCAGTGGGGATCAATAGGCGTGCTCTCTGAGGCCGGCCAGGACCTGCCTCCTACTCTGCTGCCCAGCAGTCTCGGCTGCTACGGCGAAAAGGCCCCACGGATAATGTGCATCTGCACAGACAACATGCCCACGTCCCAGCAACTGCAAATTCTAGCTTGGAATTTGAATTTCATACCTTTTGTTGTTTCTTTTTTGTTTTGCTATAGTGCGCATGCACTTGCTAGAGAGAAACAAACAGAGAGGAAGTGAGAATTCACCTTCCACGGGAGATGGCCACGCTGCAGCCCTTCTCCGTTGTCCTCGAGGGGTTCTGTGCCTGCATGCACATGCACCTGGCATGATTTTCGAGCTGGCCATGTAGAGTTCAGCCACCTTAACCTCCACACTTTCCTGTCAGCCTCTGAATTTCATCTCTCTTTTACATACCATAAAATATTATCTTGGTTTTTCAAACCATGTTTCCCAACCATTTAAAAATGTTTTTAGTCTCCACAGATAGAGTGAGCCAGCTTTGGGCTGGGGCTGGGTGTGCCAACCCCCGGCCCATCACAAAGCTGGCCTTGGTCCTCATCTTCATGTGTTTACGTCCTCCATAAGGAGTGCCCTGGAAGGTAGCAGCTGCAGAGGAGGCCACCCCATCCCTGTGGAGCTGAGGCAGGGGTGTGGCGTGAGGCATCCTCCCTGGACTTAGGGCTTCTGACACACAGTCATGGGTGGTGTCATGGCAGAAGGCACCGCAGGACACACACGCCTCTGGCCTTTCTGGGCCTCAGTTTGCCCTGTGCCTGCCCTACGCCACCCTGCTCCGGGAGGGTTGGCTCTTTGAACCCTACCATTGGGTTCTGCCTCGTTTGGCTGAGGTGGGTTCTGCCATGGCTGCCTGACAGCCCTCCTCTTGCCCTCAGAAACCATCCATGCTCGATGTGAGCCGGGAGCTGGGCTCCAGCATCGCTCTGTACAGCCGCAAGGTCCTCATCCAGACCAAGGCCACGGACATCCTGCCCAAGTGGCTGCGCTTCGTCCGAGGTACGTGGCCGGGCCGCTCGGTGGCCAGGTGGCTGACCAGACTTGCCAAGCAGCTGGGCAAGAAGCATCCCTTCCTCGACGCTAGGCATGGTGGAGCTAGGGGAGCAAAGGGGTGTTCAGATCCAGTTCTTTCAGTGTTCAGCAGTGTTGCCTGAATTTCCCGTTTACATGTGAGTTGCGTTGAATCTGAGATTATAGGCTAGTAAAGAATTCAGTGTTTAGGGAACCAGCAGTTAGCGTAATGGCTATGTCGCTGAACTCCCATGTAGTCGACCGAGGTTTGCGTCCCGGACCTGGTGGCTTAAAAGTCAAGCCGGGCGAGGGTGGGT